TTCTCCTCATCCTTCTTCTCCATTTCCTCGCAGACTCTCAGACAAGTCTCCCGGCGTGCGTCACTCCTCTTTCATATCTCCTTCGCGCTCACTCTGCAGAAGTCGGCAGGGTAGAAAAGGACGTTAGCTCATGTCAGGGCAGGCCGCTCTGAAGAAAACCGAGAGGGGAATTTACAAAGGGAAGAATTACAAGCAAGAGAAAAATCCCAGGATGCTTTATATAAGCTTGGTGAAATAGAATATAGACACCCTATATGTCTATATATTTCTATATTCTATAAGATACATATATAAAATACGCTATTTCCAAACACTAGCAGTATATATTCCTTTGCCATTTGCAGTCTGACCTACTTCTTTTTAGGACTATTCCCTTTGATTAGAAAAATTACGTCTTATTAACATGTGCTCTGGCTCACTGAGCAATCAAGCACCGGATATCTCATGGTGGCTCCAAAACCGTTTAAGAAATAATTTTATTTTAATTTCAGCCATCTTGGAAGTGCTAGTCTGCTTGAACACATCTAGAGAAAACCGGAGAATTTCCTCTTTGCACGGTTACATTTCCAATTGCTTTTATGATGTAGGAGCAGAAGATGATTAAAAAGCAATAAGCTATTCTCAGCAACTTGACTCTGGTGTAATTGCAACTAGTGTAATTGGTACAATCTGGAACCAGACTCTTTCTATGCATGCTAGCCCCTCTCCTTGTCAGACTCACAAAGTCCAGAGCAAGCGGATTAAGAAATTCACCTCAGAAGTCTTTCAAGGTGCATAACATGTTGGGTTGCTCACTAGTAGAGGCAAAAAAAAAAAAAACCTGGACTCCTTGTGAAAACAGGAATCCCACTGGTCTGTGAGTGTTTGACAAGCCACCCAGAGGGGAACGGGAGAGATGCAGGAATAACTGCTGGGATGCTCAGCAGCATTGGGGTGACTGAGATTCGGCTGTTCTGCCTCATCTCTTTTTCCCTCTTGCATGCTTTGAACACCAACTCCACCCTGGATCATAAAAACTTCCTTGATGAGTCCATTTTCCCCTAAAAATGGTCTCTAAAAATGCCCATCATTTTCTTGATTTGTTGCTTTGATTTGTAACTGCCTCTAATGCTTTTGATCTGCTCCTCACAATCACCTGCCTTCCTGGAGGTAATAGGCATCCAAGAGCAGCTTGTTGCCTTCCTGTAAGTGCACCTTTTGTGCCTGGGGCCCCTAAGGGTTTCTTTGTGGTAGAGCTGCAGGCAGCTGGGGAGTTGTGTGGCAAACGGGTTTCACAGAGACACGTTTTAGTTGAAATCTTACAGAAAAAAGGGATATTAAAAAAATCAACCAGCAGACATTATGTCCTAAGCCTTATTTTTTTCTAAGGATTGTGTGTGGCTCTTGTTCTGCTGAAGAGATCTTTGCGACAGAAGGAACAGACTTTGAATGGACCAGCAACCCTCAAGAGAGAAGCTGCAGAAAGATATATTCATTTCTAGGCTGAAAAGACTGTATTATTTAAAACATAAAAGATTCCTTGATATATGCAGCTGGCATCACTGTGAGTGATAATAACAAAGGCGCCGATATTAAAATGCAAAGTGCATTATTGCTACCTTAGGGGTTTATCTCTGAGCACTTTCACCAACCCTGATCTAGTGGAGATTTAATGATGTTCCAGCCACAGCTTTCCAGCCACAAGCTGCAGGGAGGGCAGGATTTGCTCCTTAAAGCACACATCAGAGGGATGATGCCTAGCAAGAGGAAAAGAGAACAAGACTAGGCAAAAGCTGAGTGAAGGATACAGGGAGTGTAATATAGGAAGAGAAGGGTGAGAAAGCAGGAACACAAAAGAAGTGGGGCCTGTAGGCCTGCTCCTCTGAAGTTTTATATTTTTGCACATCACTAAAAAGTGATATTGGTAGTCTCTGGATAGCCAAGATGTATGCATGTAGCCTTTAAAGACTAGCTATTAAGTTTTATTCATAAAAACTTTACTAATTGGGAATGCTTTTCTCAGTTAAGACATAAATGAAATATTTTAGTCATTCGCAGATGCTTGGGTTTAGTTAGTTCTTTTCCCAGGGGAGGAAAGATTTGCATCCAACCATCTGAGGGAATTGCTACTGAGATGCAGAGCTGCCAGGAAAGATGCATTGGCCTAATGCTGATTTTCGCAAGTCTGCCACTCACAGTGAGAGCAATGCATGCGCTGGAGCGATGGTGTCTCAGCTATTTTAGATGCATTACAGCATCTTCCCAGCCTCCAGCTGCCTCTCCAGAAGTGCACAGTGTCTCAGAGATGCTGTGTCGTATCTGCCAGCCCTGCCACAGGTGTCTTGGATACTCTGGGATGTCAAAAACAGCACTTGCTGCCTATGTTTAGGACCTGAATCACTCCCAACGTGGTATAGCTGTGAGACGTTCATTCCCTCCGCAGAGTGAGAACAGCTCGCAGTGGGAATAGTTCCCTTTGCAATTTATAGGGAAAGTTAAAAGTAGATCAGCTGCTGACAAGTCAGGCTGGCTGGTTTACAAGAGACTAGTATGTTCAACAGATGGGAAGAAGCTGCCAGATCTGAACTAAATGCCAGATCCAAACAATCCAGTACTTAAAAATATTCCATTTTCTACCATCTCTAGTGTGTGACTCACATGAGGGCAGCAGGTCCCTGCGCACAGCATTGCTTCTTCATGTTAGAACCCAGGAAGGTCGTGGAGATGGCTTCTTGTTACATTTTTTAGTAGTCCTACCTTCTTAGAAATACAGATGAAATTAGGATTTGCTTGTCATTTGTTTATGGCTGTAACAGTAACGTACTATTCCTCTTATTCCCACTATGTGTAATCAGGTGGTTCTTCAGGAAACCTCCTGGATTTAATTAAAAGGTGAGTGTTTAGCGTGATGTGAATGGTGGCTGTGGGCACAGGAGCACTGCTGGAGTCAAACATTAAATTTGTGTTTTGTGTTTCCCCTGGCTTCATTAATGCTGTTTTGTATCAATGTAGGTAGATGTGGGCAGGATCACTGTGTTATCTCAAGCAAATAGGATTGAGTAGTTTCCAAACGGTGAGGGGCAGTAACTCTCCTTCCAAGATGAGCTTGGATGGGCTGTGGGGTGCCTGGGTTTGCTCCATGGTGTTATACAGTTCAAATCTGAAGTGATTTAAAGACCTCTCCCACAGAAGAAGTAATAATATAACTTAGCTGTCAACCATGGATCTTCAGACCACATCCTAATTTGACCTTGAACCCGGTCCTACACACAAACTTAGTCATCAGCCAAGCGTAGCCTCCTGCTCCCATCTCTATTTAAAAAGTTCCAGTCTTCATTGATATCTTTTCCCTGAATCGATGTCTTTGTCATGAAATGAAACTACTTGATTTGGCTTCTGAATGATACAAAGCCAGGAAAAAAAAAGTGAAAAGAGAATGAGAGACAAAAAGGAGGTATGAAAAAAAATATATAAGAAACTTTACAAAAATATATTATAGGAAAAAGGCAAACAAGCAAAAAAATGGAAGTGTAGCCATCTGAACACTGGCCAAATCTCAATGAGTTACTTCCAGATGTGATCTCACCTGAGCACAGCGTGTGATTCAGACACAGACAGTGTATTTCTGCATTAATAAAGCTGTCTATTTATATTTTAGCTTGGCTAGAAACCAGCTGCTGGACAATCCAACCATAGTCGTGTACGCTACAATCGGGAATGATGTCTGCAATGGGTAAGGTGTAAAACAGGCTAACATTTGCATTATTGTATGTATGGCTTCTTTAGAGTAGTCCTGCATGCTTGGGTGTTTCGTCTCCTTGCTGTGGGCTTCCCTGCTATGTCATTTTTCTTTGCTAGTGGCATCTGCTTCTTTCTTATTTCTCTGCTGAATATACTGGTTAGTGCTTTTAAATATATTCATCATTACCACCAAGCAATCCTTATCTGAAGCTTGACTTTCATCCTGCTACAAGCCTCTAACCAAAGATACAGTAACTAATAACATGTTTGAAGTGGAATATTTCTTACTTAGCAGCTGAAATGGAATATAACAACAACAGGGAAGGCGGGGAGAGGCCAAGAGCTCCAAGAGCCACGATGCTGTCCCCTGTCGAGGTTTATTTTCACCCTGCCTCTCCGCAGTGCTGCCTGCTATGTTATCCTGATGAGGTTTTCGTCTTCCTGGCTCTGCTAGCGTCATAAGCGCAGCAGGAGAGTGAACTGAAGCTTTAGAAAATAATAGTCCTGGCATTATCCATTAGCCATGCTCAAAGGGAAGCCGAGAGGTCACCGTTTTGCTGCATCTCATCCTCCCGGTAGCGGGAGATCTGTAGCCCAGAAAGTTCAGGCAGAAAACACCATGCAGCCAGGCGGATACAGAGCAGGTACATCCCTCGGTCTGGGTTTTGTGGGTATTCTGAAGAGGCATTTTGCTCTTGTTATTGCTGCATTATTTTCACTGCAATGAATCTTCAGATTTTCTTTCAAGCAGAAGAAATAAATCCACCTAATAGCTGAGGCTTTCAAAACATTCATTTTAGTGAACGATATGCATACAGTTAAATCCCCTTCACAGGTTTCTAACAAGATCCCACCTGCAGGTTATATAATAAAGTTGGGGCTATTATTAAGGCTGTCAGGCTTTGCCATTAAAGATATGCCGTTTTTCTTATGGCTTTGCTCAGCAGAAAGCTTTTGGGCCAAAACGTTGCAGGTGGGGTGGAGTGCTCTAGCCTGGGAGTGATGAAGGCCCCGCGGGGCTTTACTGGTTGCACCGTTGCCTGAGCCAGGGGCAGAAATGGGCTCTCAAGTTCCGCCTTTTAGGCACTTTCACGGGCCCACCGTCTCTTTCCGTATGCTTGCAGGCAAAGGGAACCACATCCAGCAGGAGCCGTAGCACGTAACGGAGTTGGGAAGAAGTGGGACCAGCTTGTAGCGTCGTAGGGAGAGGAAAACTGAGATTGGGAGCAGGACTGCAGGGAGACTGGTGCTAGGGGATTAAAAGGGACTCGAACCAGGAGTCTGAGACAGAAGTGAGTGGCCTTCCTCCTCTGGCCTTCTTCTTTCCCCCTTCAACTTGCACAGACTGGTGAGGTGCCGTCTCAGAGATTTGTCCAGAGCTCTGCTGTGCACATATTTCAATTCTAGCTTTGCTAAAACTATTTCTTTTTCTTTGTTGTATTCCTCTTTCCCATCTTTAATACTGCTCTGTATTCCTGTCCAAAGGGAAAAAAAAATCCCCATACAATTTAAGTCATTCTGGCTTTGCCTCATCCATCTGTATGTTCTGAAATACTATTCATAATTCAAAACACTCCTGCCTCTTTATCCCAGCATTCATTACCTGACCGTGGCAGTTTTGTCTCATCAAATCCTCTTTGCTGTGTGTTTTCCTCCAAAACATTTGCAGCACCAGAAGAGGCTGGGGCTATAAGGCTGCACTGATTCCTGTGGCTCCAGCGAGGGAAGATGCTGCAGCTTGTGCAGAAACACCCTGTCCCATCCAGTGGGAAGCTAAGCAGAGAGATTTTGCAAGAGCCGGTTGTTGCATGTAGCTGCCCTGGCTCTGATGTATCCAGAGAGGTTATAGAGGATGCAGAGCATCCAGTGGGCCTGACATTAAACTAAAGGCTAACCCACTAAAAATACTTTAAGGACAGCTTCAAAATGCAGCTAGAGAGCCCTTATAGCATGAGGCTGTATTTTACCTTCAATAGGGCGCAATGTGCTTAACACACCGAGGGGCAAATCTTAGCCAAAGCATTGTTAAAATGTCAGTATTTCATCCCATGTGAAGAGAAGGGCATTGAGTAATATGGATATTTGCAGAGGAAAAAGATAATGAAATTGGCAGCATGTGTTCTGTGTTCCCAGTAGTCTCCCCACTGTGGTGTCCAAACCGGGGGGGTTAGAAAAATAAAGACAGATGGTAATGGTATCTCTCAGCCCACTGAGGTGTAAATGTGGGACACAATGCGGGACACACAGACTTGGGAAAAAAATAATAATAGGAAAAGAAAATAATGAGCACCAGAAGTCTCAAATGCCATACAGTCGTAGTGCATATTTGTGGCATTTGGGGTAAAACACAATTTCCCCAGCCCTTCTTCCCACCCTGCACTTAACGGCATCTGCACAGGTAACAGCAGTGGGACAAAAGTGGGGTGGGACAGCATCAGCCTGGAGGGGAGCCAACCACCTTCTCCAAAGTGGCAGTGCCCAGGTCAAAAAGTAGGTTATGTGAGCTCTCCACAGGGGAAATTTGGGTTACAGGAGGCCCAACAACTTGTGTGCCCAGCTGGGGCACTGGGACATCCCTAGCTGCCCACCTGCACACTCAAGGGCAATACACAGCTCTATTCTTTACATCATAGGGCAAGGAGTGGTCCATAAAACAGTCCCATCCAATGCAGCAGGCAGTCAAACAAACATCCAAGCATTAATGTCCATTTGCTCTGCACTGGCACCATGACTTGTGGCAAACGCCAGCTTCCAAAGGCCCCAGGTTTTCAGGAGCTATTGCCGTCTGCTGCACCCCAAGGGAGATGCTGTGGTGGTAACACAACACCCCAGAGCGCTGCCTCAGGCGCCTTGAAGACATCACTGCAGTGGCCAAAACCAACGTGCTCACTCTTTGCTTGGTTTTAATTTCATAGTCTGGCACATAAAGGAAATGTGAAGAAATGCACTGAAATATCTGCATGACTTAATTGGAAGGCGACAGGCAAGTGTGGCATTATGAATGCCACATGAGTTTCTTCTCTCACTGCTGTGTTTGCTCGTGGTAGAGGCCTTACATGAGGGCAGTATTTTGAAATCGAGTGCTGCAACACCTGTAGGCGAAATGAGGTAATTTAAGGGCAAAACCACAGTCTTATCTCAAAAGACTCCTTTTGCTTGGGTTGCTGTCATAATTTTAAGGCTGAATCCTAATGCTGTTTTTTTGATTTCGCACTAACTGAAAATTCTCAAATGCCTCAGAAGCACGCTCTGCATTAAGATAAATTTCCTGGCCAAGGAAAGATGCCTAATTATTAATTTTTATGCAAAATGCAGCCCACTAGAGAATCCCAAAGCCTTGCTTGAGAACACAGGTCTCCTACGTGGGGACTCCTTTTTTCCCCAAATGCAAATAGCTCTATTGCCTCAGGACAAAACAAGAGCGCTCTGAGAGCTTATATGTGTACAATATTCACTGACAACAAATTCTACCTGATTTCCCAGCTGCTCATTGATCACTGCGAGCATTAATGAAGTTTGCCCCTCATCCTGGGGAAGCTGCTAAGTCATATTGGCTTTACTTTAGAGATGGGGAAACTGAGTCATGGAGTTGAAATTTGCATAGTGTGAGCTCATGCAGGGCTTGGCAGAGCAACCCCTCACCAATCTTATTTTGGGGCAATGAGGTTAGATCTCAGTATGTGTTAACAACGTGGCAATAAGCAACACAGCACCCCAAGATGGCCTGACACTCACTCTCCTCTCTCCATACCAAAGTTTAAAGAGGAAACAGAGCCAAATTTGAAGCAGGAAGCCAGAGGTTTGTTGTTCCTTCTTCATTCCTGCCTTCCCTAAAGTCATCTCCAAGGGGCTGCTGGTACCACTGACTTCATCCTCTTGCACATTATGGAAAGTCTGAACACATCTTTAACAGTAAAGCTTCTTAAAAAGCAATTTCTCTTTGATATCCTTAGCCAAGCTGAGTTGCCCGAGAGCAAAAATGTCATGAGGGGCTGGTTCCCAAGATGCTCATCTGCGTCCCAAGGCGAGCATTTTGTCCACGAAGGCTCCTGTGCCTTCATAAACCCTTGTAGGCCACTTTAAAACCACAGCGTGGCGGCTCACCTGAGCTGAGCAGATAAAGCTGAAAAGAAAGGGTTGTTCCCTGCAGCTTGGCCCCCTCTTTCTTGGCATTTCCACAGGACAGGAGACGGGACGGGGCTGCTTCCCCAGGGCTCGCTCGCTTTTTCCTTTAGCCTCCTCCTCGGTTCAGGACACGTTCTGGACAGGCATGTTTTCATGTGTGCAAGCAGGGCAGTGGTTCGTGGGAGAGAGTGGTGAGCCCTTCTGATATAAAAAAATGGTTGTTTTAATAATATAACTAGAGCAGTATTCTCTAGGCAGCCTGAGGATTTTTTGCTTATTTGTTTTTCTTATATAAGTTGAAATTTATTTCAGTGTCAGGCCGTTTTTTTGTTTGTTTGCTTTTAGTTTTGTTTTCCTGAGACATTTACAGCTGAATGCAAAAGGGGAGGGATAAGCCTGGGTCTGAGACTCTGGCTTAAGATGTTTAGGCCAGCTGGCATGCCACAAAATGCGCTCTGCTCCTCCATGTGAGACTTGGACAGCTCCTGTACCCTATAAAATTTTTCTGAGGATTAGTGGATCAGCAGTTGAATATCTCCTCTCCCCAGTCTCCTGCACTTGTTGGACCCCTCACTGCCCTCCCCTCTTCTTTAGAATAGGAGTAAGAGTCATGCGAAACATGAGAGCCAACATTACAAAAACAATATGTTGAATGTAAGCTATGCAGAGTAATCTGTGGGCAAAACAGCCCTGCTTCCACCCAGGGCAATCACATCCTTCATCTTAAAGCCCAAATGTGCATAGCAGCACCGTTTCCTCCAGCTGTGAGGTGACCCTCAGAGACTCTCTCACAAGGTGCAGCACCGTGCAACCTGTCAGAGCCCAAATCCGCTCCTGGCTGAAGCTTGAGGTAGATGGTAGGGCAATCAGATGTGAATAGCAGGCTGGGATTTGATAAAATACGTCAAGGTCAATGTCGTTGCAATCATAAAAAGCAATATGAATTTCTAATGACCTCCAATGGACAAGTTCCTGGTTGTATACCGAGTACTAAGTACACTAAGGCAGAGGGCCCTCTCTCATGTAAGTCTTGCCACTGGTTTATGGGTGGCTTAGGAGTTACTGCCACATTGAAACACACATGCTGTTATTTCCTACAGAATTCAGATATTCTTTGGCAGTCTTCAATACGAATAATAATCCTTTGTTTTACAATATCTGCAGCCTACCCAAAGCAAAGCACAAGTGGTATTGGAATAGTTTTACATGAATTTTAATACCACAAGAGACTGATATTAATGGCACCTGCTTCATAGCACTGATTCCCTTTTCTGCAGCCATTTGAAAACAATGGAATTGCTCTACCATAAAGCCAGAAAGAAAGCTTTTCTTATGGAAGCCGCCTACTAAAAAGGAAATGCATGTCTTCTTAAATGAGAGAAACTTTCACTTGCTACACTGAGGGCTGTTTTTATATCAATCACTTGTGATTTTGGAAATAATGAACACTGTGGCACACTGTCCTTTTCAAAATATTTTCTTTAGTAAATATAATGTGGCAGAACAGCAGATACGAATATGCCACCATTTCAGCCACCTCCTGAGGAGCAATATTACCTAACACAATACCCCGTTTACATCCTCTTTTTTCACAGGGAGCGTGACACATTGGCACACATGACTACACCCAAACAAATGCTCTCCAATGTCATGCAAGCTCTGCAGTTCCTCAACACCCGTCTTCCAAATGGCAGCCACGTGATCCTAACAGGCTTAGTAGATGGACGCTTTCTGTGGGATAATTTACATGACAGATACCATCCTCTAGGTAATTATGAGATGTTTTGGGGTCCTCTTGGTTATCCATCTGCTCATGTTTCCTACTCTCACTGAATACTGTATGAATCTATTGACAATTTCAAGCAAACACAGTAGAGTGGATGAAATCTGAAAGGTGTGAGGTGGAAATCGGCTGTGAATGAGAAGTAAGGAAGGAGCTGGAGCAGATCCCTCTCCTGTCTCATGTCCATACTCTACCGCCAGCTGAGCTCCAAACAAGGCTTAACACATGCTCTAGGGATTAAAAAAAAAAAAAAGCAACTATTGTGTCTCAGTCTTAGCCCACACTGGGCTGGATATCTGAGGGGGCTATCACCATGTAGGGAACACCCCCACTTACTGATGTGTAGATGTCTTGATAAAGCTGGATCTAGCCCAGGACAGAGTTGAAGAATTTGCAAAAGACCAATTAGATATTACAGAAATAAAATTCCTTCCTGCATTGTGTGTCTGCCATCTCCTAGTCTATGTGGTGGTGTTGCGAATCAAACTTTGCATCATGTACAGGTATGGTTGTGAGCCTCCTATGAGTGCACTTACCGCAAAGTGCTTACAGATAATGTTTTCAGAGATTTGGAAGCTGTCAACTCAGAAGGTGCATAAAGATGCCTTATCTGACAATTACAAGGCATCTTGTTCATTTGCTTCGTACTATGAAGAGAAGTATGGTCACAAAATTGCATATGATCACCTATAATGACGTGTGAAATTCCATACCTTTCCCTAGAAAAGTGGAAGGCTTAGAGGATAAGGAAGTTTGGAAGTTCCAAATAAATGTCACCCCACAATTAATTAATTAAAAAAAAAGAAAAAAGAAAAAGTGAACTATTTCATACAGGTAGAAAGAATAGCTACACAAACAGCAAAAATATATTCAGTGTTCTCCACTTAAACATCTGCATAAGGATCCAGTGGTCAAATTTAAGACCAAAAATATCTCAGGAAGCTGGAAGTTGTTGCTATCTCAGGGATAACCCAGATCACATAATTAAGCAGGGAATTATCTCTTCAGAGGATTTTGACACTGCTGGGTATTAATGCTTTCAGGGGGCTCTGTGTCCTGGTTCTCATCCAAGGTTAATCATTGTCAATGACCCCATAACTTCTACTTTATATACAGTTGGCTATTTTACCCTTCTAAAGCCTCATATCAGCAAGTCTGAGGTCCAAATTTCTATTTTCCTTTTCTGATACTCCATTTAGTTTCCTTTAAAGAGCACTATACTACTAGAAAGCAAAAAAAAAGGAAAAGAAAAAAAAAGCTTGTCTGCTTCCGGACAGAGGGAGTCTATAATAATTATTTTTAATCACATACATTCATTTTTTTGCCTGAGTACATATTTATCACAGGGGTGGTTTCTTCTACAGGATATCTAATTATCAGTGATCACACATAGCTTTTTTGGCACAAGTCAAATGAGGAGTGATTAGCTATCGGATCAGTTGGAAAATTTTCAGCGGGCCTGATTTGCATTGGAGGGAACTGATTAATCCTAAGCAACACATTTTGCAGCAACACGGCATTTCTGACAGATTTTCCAACAAGTTACAAGCAGGTTTCCCAGCTTGGCTGCTGGTCAGGTGCTATCAGAAGTCTATCAGACTTTTTGCCAGGTTTTTACCCACCTAGGCTCCTGTGAGCCAAATCCAAGGGCTTTGCTCCAAGGGCATCCCAAATGCCTGTCCCAGAGCTTGAAGCTTTCAGGCTATGAGAATCCAGGATGTCCTTATCGTATAGGAGATCATGCAGCTGTCAAACTCTACTCTCACAGGCTAGGTAGTATCTGCCCCCAAAGCTGGCAGAACTATTTTGCCCAAGAGCTGGAAGACTGTGTCCCACCACAAAGCCAAAAAAAATACACTTATTTCAGAGTTGCAAAAATAATGAAGTGTGACAGGATGATTGGTGAGCTACAAACTCCGAGAATTGAGTGGTCAATTAATTTCTGAGCTGGCGGTGGCTACCATGGAAGCAAAAAGGTCATGAAAAACGAGTAATTTTCTCAGCAAGCCAGTCTATAGCGTAGCACAGGGAATTTGTCAGCTGGATGTTTAGCTTAGTGGTTGAATCCACTCACCCACACAGGCACATCCACATCCCTCTGTGACAGGAAAATTGTTTCTCCCTTTTAAAGCTAACCTCTGCAAGGTAAATGTGAAGCTCAGAGCACGCACAGCCACCCCCAATCTTCCCTTCAGGTTTGCAACGGCTGCATTTGTGTGGAGAGTGAAAGATGTGGTAATGGATAAAATATCAATCACTCGCTCCAAGATTTGCACGGGCAATCAAGCCCTTGTGTAAGAGGAACTGATGGGGAAGGGCAAGAGGTGCATCAGAAAAAAGGAGTTTCTGCAGGTTGTGGGGACGACCACCCTTGTGGGAAGCTCAGGGTGACCCCTCTGATTGCCAGGAGCTCTGGCACCCTCGGCTCAGCCCAGCACATGGGAATGGGCAGGTGGGGATCCCAAAGCCACGTTGAGTTTGGCCTTCAGGCATGCACTGTTTCCCTCTCTGTGTTTTGCAGGGCAGTTGAACAAAGATGTCACATACAGCCAACTTTATTCTTTCCTAAACTGTCTGCAGGTAAGATTTCCCTCTTTGAGACTGGGAAATTTCCTTTGGCTTTCTGTCTGCTGGTCTGCTACTAAAGCCTGGCTCTCCTTGCTTGTTCAGGTGAGTCCTTGCAGTGGATGGCTGACTTCCAACGAAACCCTCAGGAACTTGACCTCGGAGGTAAGTCCGGTGAAAGCTGTGTCGGCTGTGTCGACAGTCTTTGAATTTACTCTGTCTGTATGTTGGAGGATGCAAACCTCATATCCCAGTGCAGAATGTCAACTTGGGCTTTTCTTTCAAAGACAGGGAAAGCATGTAAAAACCTGTGTATCTGTTCTCTTCAAACACCTCCCAAGCTTGAGGATATGGCGCAGTTAAGTTAAGGGATTTGTAGGGGTAGTGTCATTCTGGTTTCCCAGCTCTCCAAAGTTATTCTCCAGCAGTGCAATCTTCCTGAGACCCAAACGTACAGGTTCTTGTTCCTTAAGGAGAAAATGTGTGTAATAAGAGAGAAAAGGCTTATGAATCAGGTAGCTGTGAGTACAAAAAGTCAATTGCATAGATTTTGTTGGCAGCAGGAGCAGGCCCTGAGAGCAAAATCTTTACTCTGTCTTTATTTGGGATTTGTGCTAATCTTGCTCAGACTTACTTGCCAGATGGTCTGGCCAAGGAGCATCTAGACTCAGCGCATGAATGGGAACAGACAGAGCAGAGATGCCTTTTAAAACCCACCCTAAAAATCTGGCTATAGAAGTGAATGTCACATAATATCAGCCACTAACTCCACTTCAGTGCTAGGAGATGTTTAATCTTTGCCCTTTGCAGGCATGTAAAAGAGACAATAGTCAAATATTGTCAAAAGTGTCATGTCTATGCGATTATATTAATGCTTGCATTCACTAGGTAAAAAATAAATCCTCAATTTCCCCAGCTTTACATATTCATTTAATTTTATGTCCCCTCCCTCTTGATTTCAGAGATGGCAAATAAGCACATTGCTAAATCTTTGCAGGATTAGAGCCTATATATTTGTACAAACAACGCAACATGTAGTACATGAAGCTTCTACCTGTGAACAACTCCTGTGTCTGCAGGATATGAATTAATCTTCCTTCTGAGTTCCTGTCTGAAACTAATTGCCTATGTTATCATCCAAACTGGGCATATTAAATATTTAGGAGATTCTGATCTCTGTTACAGCTGTAGAAACCACACGGGATATATGACTTAGGTAGAGGTCCAGTGGAGACAATTTAATTTGTAGCAAGTGAGAGCAGAATTTAATCTCGATAGAAAAGTGTTAGCATCCACAACACAGAAAGGCTAATGGAAAAGGACAAAAAAGTTTCAATTTTCTTTAAGATGAATGCAAGTGATTTGGTTCATCAAGGCCCCTGAAAATTAGATTCTTCATAATGATAGGGGAGTAAGGACACTGCTAGAAGAAGTGTATAATAAAATAACTGTAGGCTGTATTAACCTTATTGTGCCCAATGAGGCCTCACTGAAATCTCCAGTGAGGTATCGCATCACAAGCTATCTCCCACAAACCCAAAGGCTAATGAGGTTCAGTATAAGTGTATGGTATAATGAAGAACTCCTTTTCACCTCCTTTCCTCCAGTTAAAACAGCAGCATTAGCTTTCAAATTCCTGACTGCATATTGCTGACAAAAGCTGAACCACACAAAGCAGCATGAGTAGTGATGAAGTGTCATTAAACTGCTTGGTTTTACAGAGAGCTTTACAACTCTCCAATGTCCTGAAAGAAATAGCGACATCTGAGAAATTCAGCAATTTTGATATTTTCTACATGGATTTCCCACTGAGACAAAGTAAGTTGCTTTTTTTTTCTCACATTTGTTCTCAAGAAGCATTTAGACATTGGTGTTGGGCTGCAAATAACGCTGCTTGCATGTAGCTCTGCTGCAAGGACAGCAATGTAGCCAGTCCACCTGGCCAATGCTGGCTGCAGAGCTAGGGGCATCAGGGTACCTTGAAGTGTCTTCTCCTGGTTCCCCTTGCAGCGTGGGCACCACTGGGTCTAGGTCCAGATGCATTAGGACCAGGCATTAGGCTTTGCGTGCTGGGCGTTGAGTGTTGGTGCTTGGCATCAGCATTGGGTGTTGGACACGGGTGTCACCTCCTACACCAGGAGCTGCAGGATGGCCCGCACTCCTGCTTTCATGTTGCGTTCTCCCAATGAGCGGTGCCTCAGGAAGGTGGCTTTTTCCCAGCCAAATTTCCTGCCCAAGCAGCAGCGCCACCCTCTCCTCACACCATGTTTGCAAAAGCACAAGCACCTCTTCTGTGGGGAACTAGCTTCTTCCCATGCTTGCTTAAGTACCTGTAAAATATTGCAACTCCAATTTGCAGAATCCTTCGTTACATGATCCTAAAACACTGGTTAGATAAGCAGCTTGCCTACATCGCTTCCTTCTGCAATTGGCACTTAAAAAAACAAAAACAAACAAACAAAAAAAAAAACCCACATGCCTCAAAAAAACCTTTTTTCTTTGCGAATGTGAGAGGAGCAGGTTAAGCCTGTCATTTCAATTAAGTTCAATTAAGGCCTGGAGCCTAGTGTCACTCGTTTTTCCCCATGCACCACTGTGCAGAGCCCTGCTTCACCTGCGAGAAGGAATTTCTGAAGGGACAGAATCACCCTGGCAAGACTTCAAACACGCATCTCTAACACCCCTCCCTGTCAGTGGCAGCATAAAGCTGTCAAGGCACCTAAGTTTATTGTAAAAAAATCTTAGTTGCAGCCAAATCCTATCAAAATTTGTAAACTCACATGACCCAATTCAGGAAGCTGGTTCTGGGATGCATGCAGACCATGGAGAAGAAGGTAAAAGATGATGAGAAGTAGGGTCTTTCTGTCCAAAACTTTGGCTTAGAGATGTGGACATGACTGTCAAGGTAGATATCGTAGTATAGTTTCAAAATGTCCAAGTCTATTTGTGAATTTTGTCTCAGCTACTTAATATTTAACAAGTCATTAGGATATGGAACAAACTACCTGCTGGGTAGGCAAATTACTTTAATAATTAAATTGCTAACTTTAGGTAATTTATTTGCTTTCATGAAAAGAAACATCTCAATATAATTTGCTGTTCTTGATTACATCGCATTAAATAAATGGGGTAAACAAAATCACACACACACATACAAACATCAGCTCTGAAAGACACTTTGCAAAGTTTCTTGCAGCCCTGGAGCGAACAAGTTCAGCCTCCCATCAGTAAAACTGTCAGCTCTTGAGGGTGCTTGTAAGCAAGTTATGGCTGCTGACCTACTTTTCCAGTCTCTTTCTGAAGCAAGTGCAAATCCCTCCCTAGACTCTCCAGACATCAAATATTTAGCAGCAGCTGCATGCTGTGATCAGTACGTTGACTTCAAGCTGGCCTATGCATCCACATATACCCACATATATCCATATATGTACATGGCAAGCTCCCGGATTTCTTGCAATGAATTTTGGGCACTAGCATCCATTCTAGGTGGACATTCAAACCAGGTGTTGGCTTCGGCTGAAGGACTGAGTAGTTTCTTTAAGTAAGAGTGCAAGGACAGGAGTGAGAGGCTGATCATTTTGTTTTTTTTTCTTAATGGGGCAGTGGGCAAGCTCTGGCCTAGTCTAGGCAATAGGCACTTTTAAGACTAGCTCTGGGTTTATCTGATTGAAGGGTGTGTTGGTCCCAGGACTGCTCTAGGGTTTTTGGAGCAAGTATAATGGATCATATTCACTTATCGTGATACAGATGGGTTCCACTTACTCATCTACTCATTCTGGTGCTCGGACAGTAGTCCTTCTACAAAGTAAAACACCTTATACAGTCTCATAGTTAGTATATGATATTATATTTAATGCTGTAGACAAGCTGACCCTATGTATAAGACATGTCTCATGTACTGCAAATTTGAAACAAGCCCCCGAGACTCTGCCTTTAAACAGGTTGCTTTGGTGTTGAATTAGAGATCTCACATCTGTTTCTATTCTCAAAGCAGGGATAACATTGTGCCTTTAAATGGGTTACTTTGCTGTTGAACTAAGGATCTCACATCTATTTTTCTATTGTGAAAGTAGGAATATTACAACTAAAATCTATGAATTCAAAGTTAAAATGAGGACCTGGGCATCACTTTTTGACACAATAGCCAGGGTCCAGCAAACAGCAGTGAGTTCAAGTCAAAAATGTATTTGAAAGGAGAAGCTTTTTCTCCTGACAGGATGCCTGCATAATGCTATTAAGAATTCTTAATCCATCATTATAAAAGAAATTATTGAATTTAGAGCCTGCTAATGCCATATCCACTCATCCAAGGTTTGATCATTCTCTAACCCTTTTGAAGAGAGAAAGCTTTTTACTGCTCTGATCGCTCTGGGGTTTACAGTACAGCATCATTTGCATTGAAAGGCATCCTTATGCAATTCAAAAAGGTTATTCTTTTTGTTAGAGTTGAAAAAGACCACTCAGAACTGAAAATGACATTCTGTTCCTGAAGACATCAGCCCATGTGAATGTTGTGTTAGCATCTCTTTCTATAAAAAACCTGCTCCCTTCATCTTCTCTTATCTTTTCCTTTTCTTCTTTTTTTCTGCTCTGCTGAAGATGCAGCCTAAACAAGACATGCAAAAGTATTACATCAGTGTTAAATAATTTATGGCCTTACTTGCTATGGCGTCAGTGTTGGCTAGAAAGGAAAGTGAATTGTTTTACAATCGTTTATGTTCAAAGAGCTTCCTTGCATAAATAGCAAGGATTAAAAATAACAATAATAATAATAGCACCAAGGGCTTAGGCGCTGCCTCAAGGAAAAGGGGGCTGAACGTGACGCTGGCTTTGACAGCTTTATATAAACTGTGATGACACGAACGTGCGAGTCGCGTGCGGGGCGGGCGCTGACCGCTGTGCTCTTGGCTCTGCAGCGGCCGAGGAGTGGCACCGCATGGGCGGCGAGCCCTGGCAGCTCATCGAGCCCGTCGACGGCCCTAAAACAGCCTGAAGTAAAACCCTCTGCGAGCTCAAAAGTGATGCACAAGCTGTAGCAGCAACAACCAAGTCTTGCCTGAATTTCCAAGTCAGCCATGTTGCAAATGTCCCCTCTCCACCCCAGCATCAAAGTTAGCAGGAGACACTGAGTAATCCAGGCCCACTAAAAAACAAGGTCCTGATACTGTCACCTTGAGGTAGGCAATTTAGGACATGAAATTAAACTGCACAGGCCAGCTTGTCTCCTTGAGCCCCTTGGAGCCCCAGGGTTGTGATGGAAGTCACCACTTGCTCAAGCAAAGATGATGTCTTAATACAATTTAATCAGCTGACAACAGGTAAACCCAATTGCTTGTGTTTTCAGTCCTGGCTCTTATGCAGTGATTGAGCTAGAATTTTGCTCAGGTAAACTACAAGCAAAGGAATTGCAGCAAGTGGGGGAGAAGCTGATGGCAATGCCCATCAACAGAGCAGAGCTGGTCCTTGTCTCCCTCTTTTTGCAAAGCTCTGCCAGGCAGCCACGAAAGTGGCGCCTGCCCCTCACCAGTTACACATGGGGATGGGGCCAGAAGCGGATATCCCTTGGGGATATTTTGGGGCTAAAATAAGGTGAGCCTCACACCATGGTCCTTCACACCACTACCTCCAAGG